ATTAAATGAAGATATATTCACACTTTTTCATATTAAAAAAAAATAAAATTAAAAGAAAAAAAAAAGATAATGGATCATATATTTATGGAATACAACTACCCATGATCTTTTTTAATTCTAAAATAAATTTTAAATTTTTTTTAAAAAAAACATCTCACAAGTGCGGAAGCTCATGTGAAGATGCTAGTAATAAGAAAAAGAAAACAATTGTTTACCCAACTCAAGATTCAATCTTTTTTATTTGAAAATGAGACAATTGGAAACCCCACTAAACCAATAAGGATATGTAAAGTTCTAATTCCAATTGTTGAAGCTATTCTGGTAATAAGAACCTACCCATTAATGTTAACTACCTTTTTGTTTAAACTGTTTTTGTTTTCTGTTTTTTTAATTTATTTTTATAATCGAAAAAAAAAAATTGATTGTGGTAAGAAAATATTCCATGTGAAAATACATAGAACAATGTGGAACAAACAAATAAAATATAAACCTGAAAAAAAAACTAAATACAGTTTTAAATCATTTTAGCTTTTAGTTTTATAAATTTCCCTTTGCTTTCTCTTCTTTGACCTCTATCATTTCTCATGCTCCCTCCTTTCTTTAACTAAAAAACCAAAAACCAAAAATACTAAACACTAATTCCTAACGACCCTTTATATATAGCCCAACAGAAGCACTAGCACCAACAGAAATTCAAAACACTTGAGAATCAAACCAAAACTTGCTCTCATCATCAATGGAAGAGCTAGAGAACCCAATAGTGATGACAAAGGTCATCACATTCCTCTCTTCCCTGGTTCAAAGGGTGGCTGAATCAAATGACATCAATTATGAATTCCAACCCAAGAAAATCTCAGTCTTCCATGGCCAAACCAGGCCCCCCATATCAATACAGAGCTATTTAGAGAGAATTTTCAAGTACGCCGATTGTAGCCCATCTTGCTTAATTGTTGCACATGTTTATCTGGATCGGTTTTCTCAGAGGCAACCCGATTTGCCTATCAATTCGTACAACGTTCACCGGTTGCTGATTACTAGTGTCATGGTGGCTGCAAAGTTCATGGATGACATGTAAGTGTTGAAGTTGGATTTTATTAGCTTATGATGAACAAATTTTGGAAAATCTATTTGGCTTTGAAGTTTTGGTGTTTGAGTTACTTAGATGATTTTTTTATTCAAGTTATTTAGTTTTAGTTACAGAAGTGAATTTTAAGCCGGGGAAATTCAAAGGGAGATCATTCAAAGATTTTGAATTTGTTTATGTGGCCATTTTGTATTGTGTTCATCTAAATATAGAAGTTTTGGAATATTCTGTTTCATGCATGAATGTAGATGGAAACTGAATATGATTTTACTGGAATATTTTGGAATCTTCTGGCTCAAGTGGTCATCACTGACAGAAAATTTTGTGCAATGTCAAAGCTATTTTTGTAATGAGATCTATTTTCAGTTGGTTTATCCCCAAATAGGTACGCCAGAATTAACTAATCTCCATGTAATATTATTCAGGTACTACAACAATGCCTATTATGCAAAAGTTGGAGGCATCAGCACAATAGAGATGAATTTTCTTGAGGTGGATTTCCTTTTTGGTTTGAACTTCAACTTAAATGTGACCCCCTCAACCTTCACCACCTACTGTTCCTACCTCCAGAGAGAGATGCTCTTACTGCAGCCTCCTCTAGATTCTGCAGATTCTTCTCTTAGTTTAGGCAAATCGCTAAAGCTCCACTTGTGCTTTGATGAGGGTGAAACCTCCCATCAGCAACAGCAGCTAGCTGTTTAATTAAAAGCTCTTGGAAGGGTTTCCCCCAAAAACAGTAGTGGTTGAGGTAGTGATTTTTAGTACTTCTAAAAGTACTATATTTGGGCTGGCAAAATGAACATTAGATATTTTTGTCAGCGTTTTCTTTTCTTTTCTTTTTCGGGTTTTGTAATTGAAGTTATGTACAGATGAGTCTTGAATTTCCAGTCTGGAGAAGCAAAGCAATGCCTCTAAATAGCTTGTTTGGTTTATATATACTTGTTCTTATCCATAAATGTTAGGGTTCTCTCTTGACTCTTAGGTTGCCATGCATGCATGGCAATTTGCTCACACTTGGTCAGAATTTGGAAGGAATTTGCGTGGCGAGTATAAAACCTTATTTGGCGACATGGGCAAAGCACTCTTTTATTTCATTGTAGTCATATTTGGTGTTGCAAGTTGGTTTTGGTTGACAGTTATTGATCTTGAGCTGGGAACAAGGAACATGTGCAATCATGGGCCACTGATCCGATCCGATAACCTGTTAAGTTAACGAAATAAAGTTGGATCTTGTTTAATCCGATTCGATAATAATTCGATCTGATTTGATATAACATATATTTCATTTTATTTTATTTTTACTTACTTAATATATATGCATATGTAACAATCTTGTTAATTTTGAAAATAAATAAAAATATTTTTCAGTTATTTATATATATTACATAAAAGAATTCAGACCGGCTTATCAAATCTGATATCAAATAATTCAAAACATAGAATATAGATCTAATTATTAATGATCTGTAAGAATTTTGGATCAAATCGAGTCGGATTTCAGGTGCTCCGTTCCATCTTTGACTCGTTTACAGGTCTACTGGTTAGGGGAGAGAGAAGAGAGAGAAGTTTAGAAATTAAATTCCTACTAGTACTGAGTTAAAATTAAAAAGGCTGGCTTAGATCAATGATTTATTTTCCTAACAATCTTCATTTGAGAATCCTAGAATCCTATATAAATTGAATCAAATGGCATGTTTACGTATCAGTAATAGAGAAAGTAAAGAAACAAAGAATTTAGGAATCGAGGAACTACTGAATCGGTATGGGAAAAATCATTCCCATTAAGTTGTTTACTAAATATCTGGAATTAGCAAAGGAATGGGGTTGATTCCCATTGTTATTGTGTACTAATTTTCATGAATCAGAATCCAAATTAATTTGATTACTGAAATGCCCTGCCATTTTCACCACAACACATTTATAATCTCAAATTGGCTAAGAAGACCAAACTAATCCTGTAGCAACCAGTAAGGTTGTGTAAACATGAGGACTTAATATGCTGAACAAGATGAACAGTAAGAGCCCAGTTCAATGATCATGTTAATAACACATTTGTCCATAGCCAATTTCAAATGAAAAAATAAACTCCAATAAATATAAATACATATATATATATATATATCTTTCACCTACATAAATAGTAAACAATCAAATAATAATAACCCGCATAATCTTCATACAATTAAATACATAATCTTCATACTACCGAAAAAAGAGACATATAATCTCCACAAAAGTCTTTATCCATGATTGTACTTTGTTTTGTGATGAATGTGAAGACAAAAGATAGAAGAAAAAGAAGAAGAAGAAGAAGATAGATAGATAGAATGACTTACATAGCACAAGGCGTTGTTATTGCTTCTAGGAGGTTGTGTCTGCAACTCTAACGTGAAAAAGAAGTTGGAGCGTCTTGGAACTTCTTGGCATGAGTTTTGTTTTTTTAGGGTTTGGGGTGTTTTGAAATAATGGTAAAGTGATAAGAGTATTTTTGGAAGTTATTAAGAGAAAACAGGAATGGGAATCGTATCGACTACTCCCCCCTATATGATTTGATACCTAGTTTTGAGGGGATGTGATTACAAATTTTGAGGTGGGGCCCACTTATTTTTTAATTCCTGATTGCAAGTAAATGCATCGGAAGTCAGGAATGGAAATCATTCCATTTTCTCCCATACCCATTACTGATAAATAAACATGCCCAAAGTGTTTGAAAAAAGAACACCCTGCATTTAATAGTGAGCAAACCCTAGACACTCACTATGCATGAGAAGATATGTGGATGCATACACTGAAAAAATGAGATGTTTTATGCAAGAACACATGTGTGGATATAAGAACACAAAAATTGGAAGGATATAAGCATATGTGCGGATATAAACAAATGACAACATACCATATTTTTGCACTCTTATACTCATTGGGCACAAATAGCTTTGGTAAATATGTACATACCTGAAAATAGGGTAGTCATAACATAGAAGAATACGAAAATTGGAAGGATATAAACAAACAAGTAGTTACAATGCAATAGAATACAATATTTCTTTGCATATTTTTGGAAACTTATTCATAGTTACATGAAACTTACTCTGTAGATACTCCATTTGTTCATGGGGTACAACACACAATCACTTGCACTATGCTTCCCCCTTTCCCAAATGGTATGGTCAGTAAGGTATATGCATTTGAAAAGGCAAGAACCAAGATGGAAAGAGATGCATTACAAGAACTCATGCATGAGTGTTAAACTTAACACACAGAGATTTATTGTCTTCTCTAGGCCAAACCAGTCATGAAGTTAGTAAAAAACAACTAAATCTGCTGGAAAATCACTTACATCATCCTCAAAGTTCTAGGAATAGCTTTCAAAGTCTAAGTAGTTCCCAGGACATTTCTTCAGACACTGCATCTATACGAGGACAAAGGAAACAAAATTCATGATCAGGTACAAACCCCAAGAAGAAGTAATCCAATTTGGGAATCATCATTAAAGATAATACGATCATCATCCCAGATGCATGAGAAAATGACAGAAAAGACAGCTTAGATTCAGCAAATGCAGGAAGGATTAATTACAATAAGAAAAAGATTTAAATACAAATTAATCTTTCAGGAGAGTTTACAGAAACATTAAAACACTAACAAGACTCTGTAGAGAAAAAGCAAAGCAGGAGCAATCATAGACTCATAGTTGGGGACTTACTCTAGCTCTTTTAGCAACCAGATGTCAGGATAACTGCCTCAGGGTCCCTTCAATATCATCAGCTTCCATATAATATTCTCTTGCCTCCGTAATTGGATTTCTTTCTAATAAATGATTAAGTTAAAGAAAATTAATACTAATTCCACACTACATCAGCATGCAATAAACTACTGTATTTTGTAGTCAAGTATAGAAAGAAAAGAAAAAGCATCCTCACAAGTCACAAGACTCAGACTTAGGTGACAATGTATTAACACCAGCATGCTTTGGCTTTGGCAAAATTGTTCGAAGTGTATAAGATACCTTTGCAGACTTCGGTTCAAGAGTATCGCAGTGAGGTGGATTAGCATAAGCACTCTTTGGCTTCTCAGCTTGTTGCTTTTCAGCTTCCACATTCTCATCTTCAGTAGTCTCTGCTTCATTCTCAGCTGAAGGTAGCTTTGTAACACTCTTTTGGCGTTGGCAAAAGTGCCAAAAGTGTAAAATGTAGCTTTGTAGACTTATATGGCAATGTCTTAACACCAGCATTCTTTGGCTTTGGCAAAAGTACCCAAAGTGTAAAAGATAACTTTGCAAACTTTGGTTCAAGAATATTGCAGTGAGGTGACTTAGCACAAATACTCTTTGGCTTCTTAGCTTGTTACTGTTCAGCTTCCGCATTCTCATCTTCAGCAGTCTCAGCTGAAGGTAGCTTTGCAGCACTCTTTGGCGTTGGCAAAAGTGCCAAAACTGTAGAAAGTAGCTTTGTAAACTTAGGTGACAATGTCTTAACACTCGCATTCTTTGGTTTTGGCAAAAGTGCCCAAAGTGTAAAAGATAACTTTGTAGACCTTAGTTCAAGAATATCGCAGTGGAGTGGCTTAGCACAAGCACTGTTTGGCTTCTCAGCTTGTTGCTTTTCATCTTCAGCAGTCTCAGCTTTATTCTCAGTTGAAGGTAGCTTTGCAGCATTTTTTGGCATTATCAAAAGTGTTAAAAGTGTTGCAAACTTAGGTGATAATGTATTAACACCAGCATGCTTTGGCTTTGGCAAAACTGCCCAAACTGTAGAAGATACCTTTACATACTTTGGTTCAAGAATATCGCAGTGAGGTGGCTTGTCTTCTCAGCTTGTTGCTTTTTAGCTTTCACATTCTCATCTTCAGCAGTCTTAGCTTCATTCTCAGTTGAAGGTAGGTTTGCAACACTCTTTGGCTTCTCAGCTTGTTGCTTTTTTCCACATTCTCATCTTCAGCAGTTTTAGCTTCATTTTCAATTGAAGGTATGTTTGCAGCACTCTTTGGCTTCTCAGCTTGTTGCTTTTCAACTTTCACATTCTCATCTTTAGCAGTCTTAGCTTCATTCTCAGCTAAAGATAGCTTTACAGCATCCTTTACCTTTAACAAAAGTGTCAAAAGTGTTGTAGACTTAGGTGACAATATATTAACACCACTATTCTTTGGCTTTGGTTCAAGAATATCGTAGTGAGGTGGCTTAGCACAAACACTCTTTGGCTTCTCAGCTTGTTACTTTTCAGCTTCTACATTCTCATCTTCAGCAGTCTTAGCTTAATTTTCTGCTGAAGGTAGCTTTGCAGCACTCTTTGGCTTTGGCAAAAGTGCCGAGCTTTGCAGACTTAGGTTCTAAAATGTCATTACAGCCATCAAAATACAACCGAGAACCTGACAATGCCTTAACACCAGCATTCTTTGGCTTTGCAGATTTAGGTTCAAGAATATCGTCATGAGGTGGCTTCTTATTGTCATGTGGCTTCTCATTCCTAGCATCACAAACTCCAAATATAAATGTAATTATCTCATGCTAGCTGTCGACAAGATAAAGGGTCTCGGTCTTTGATTTCCAAAGGGACCCTGTTCCTTCTCGCATTTGTTTGCTTTTTTGAATGACTGCCCACAACAGTGGCATAAAAGTCATCCCAAATTGATAGCCTACCGCCAAAAGGTGATCGCAAGGATTGATGACAATTCCTATTTCTGCTTCCAGAAGAGGGCCGAGGTCATCAACCGAGCTTCCAACAAATATCCTCAACAGTTTCTTCGTCTTAGTCTTCTCAGAAATCTCGTTGAAAATGTCCAATTTTAGTTCAAAATCTGCAAATTGAGATAAGACTTTCTGTATATTTTTATGTATAAATCCCACTACAAAGGAAAGAAAACACAAGTCAAAACTACACTTTTAAAAATTGAAATAATAGATCAACGTACTTACCCCTTACAATAGGTATGTCCTTCATCAAATCTTTGGTGTAAGAATCACAGCAGGAGAAACTCAACCCACATGCAATAAGAAAAAGCTATCTTCTAATATCAAACTCCTTAATTACAAGAACTATAGGGAATTGATCAACAATGACTTGCCGGCTGAAAAGTCTATTGTCAATTCCATGGAACTTCTATATCATGGTTCAACAAACTGAACGCAGGCATCGCTGGTCAAAGAGTGGCATAGATGATTGAACACCTTCTTCGTATGGATATAATGTGCCCGGAATAAACACATATGCTTTAAAAATAAGACATAATGTGTTGTTGCAAATTGTTTTCATTGAAAACAAATAAATGGAGTTTGCATACCAAAAACAAAGAAGAACAAACCTGATAATTGAGTTGTTTTAAAAGTAAGGCATGATCAACAATACCTGATAATGATTTGATGAATATTTTTCAACCCAGTGGTGAAATCTGGCATTTTTTGTGTGTACAATATTCTTTAGCTTCTCAGCTAGGTAGTAACTGGGAGTGATGAAAGAGTACTCCCTGCAAATGTGAAAGCAACACTCACATTCGAGGGGCCTATTTTCGTAACAAAAAGAGCCATACATCATAAGTAGAACACTCGAAGGCCTACTTTGTTCATCGACTTTATTGCAACTTTTTCTCTCTAACCCTAGCCCCTCATTTGAAAACACTTGCAGCATTGCTTTTAGAGGAGGCCTTTGCTCCTTCCCACTTCTTCCTTCTCCTATTGTTCCTCTCCTCTGGCCTTTGCTCTTTCCCACTTATCTTTCCTCTGTGAGAGTTCTTCCTCTTCTATGTGTGAGTTTATGTTATTTTTATATTTGCTTATTTTTACTTTTTATTTCTCTGAATCTCCTATCCAACTCTTTCCCAACCCTCTGATCTCCCTCATCTCTAACTCCTTGTGTCTCCAAACACCCCATTTATCTATTACATCTTCCCTAAGTTCTCCTCTTCCTCTTTTCCTATGTTTGCCTTTCTTTACTTTTTTTCTCTTCAACCTCACCTTAAATTTCCCTAAATTATGTCTAAATTTGGAAAACCCATATATGCACTTCCACTCTCCTCTTTCTTCCCCAACCATAAATATTGTTCTTCAATCTACACTTCTCACATCTGCATCCCTTGCCCATTCTCTGTTATGGTGTCCTCCACACATTCCCTTCGACTGTGTTCCGACTCAAGATCTCAACCACCAGCCATTGCTCCTCGGCTCCATGGATGAGGATGCTTCAAAAGTGCTCTTTGCAATAGCTTCTACGATTATGGTAATGCTCTTTGTGTGGGTGGTTTGTCCACCACCATTCTCCATTCTAAGCAATGGTTTCTCTGGTTACTGGTTATATCTGGCGGTTGTAGATTTACGACGGCGGAGCAGCAAGGGGAAAGTGGTGGTTGTGGAAGACCAGTGAATAACCTTCATCCAGAATGTCAGTCTCCAATTTAGAAATTGAAATTGAGGTATTGAATGCTGTCTCATCATCCACAATTTCATCCTTAAATGTATTGGCTGATGTCTCATCATCCACAGTATTATCCTCAAAATGGAGTTCAACTTAGATAGATGTGGAGTGATGGATGATGTGTTAAGATATGGACCTTCAGCATGTGTATGTGCCTTCGGTAGGATATTTCCTTCAGCAATCAGTGACATTCAGTGTAAGTAACGTAAATAAGCATCCAGAAGACAAGGTATATGTAGTTCACCCGAATGATGGGCTACGTCCACAAAGAATGATGTTCTCATTATGATAATGTTTGTTTACATATGTACAAAGGGATTAGACCCAAAGATAAAGGGAAGAAGGCTTAATGCCTAAGGTACAAATCCCAAGAGTCCAAGGCTCAAGACCATTTACTAAGAGGACAGTAGTCTTCTTTTATAGGCGAGGGGGAGTCTCCACCTCTTGTAGTCTTCCAATGTGGGATTCCTTGCCTTGCATAGAGTTGTGACTTATGATAAGATTTCTTTGGCTATGGTGATGACCCCTCAAAGCATGACACGTAGAGGAAATAGCCTAACTAGTTGCTTGGTTAGCCACAATACCAACAGTAGTCCCCAAAGTTCGCGAGTAAGAAGGTACTTCTTGCTTGGGGATTTGTAATTTTAAGTGCACTAGCCGAGCAACACCGTAGTTTATCTTCCAAGTCATATAGTGCACTACCCACAGTCCCCCAAGTCCCCGAGTAAAAAGGACATTGGAAGAAGGGAACTTGCAACAAAAACCCAATTGGTTGCTAAGTCCCTAGTTTGTTATGCAAGGGTGTCGAAGAGCATCATAGTGGGCCGAAGGGCGGGGGATGCTAGAGGTACAATACTTGCATGTCGCATGACAAGGTGCTAAAGGGCATGTAGGTGTTAAAGGCTCAAGACTCGCATTTCGCAAGACAATGTTTGTAGACTCGAGGGTGTCAAAGTCATAAGATTGCTTGTCACAAGACAAGGTGTTGAAGGGCATAGGGTGCCGAAGAGCATGGGCTTGCATGTTGCAAGACGATGTGCGAATGGCACACTTGAGTGTCATAAGGTGAGGTGTTGACGAGAAAAAGGGCGCCAAAGGCACTTGCATGTCTCAAGGAAAATTGCCAAATAGTGGTTTGAGGTTCGGTGAGGCTTTGAAGGTGCCAAATTGTGGTTTGACTCCTCTGAATTTGGTAAAGAATGGCTAGCGATTGATATCTTTGAAGCATAAGCTCCTTGCAGTGATCTTGGCAAGGATTCTCTCTTCGGTACTTAGGTGTTTTGAGGAGAAAGTTCTCTTAGAGCTTTCTGGAGCTCTCTTAGTATAATGAGTAAGTGGGTGCTGTTCAGTAACCCATGAATAAGCAGCAAAAGGGCATTGAAGAAAGGGAGAACGATAGAATCTTTTAGTGTCGATTCCCACAAACGGCGCCAAATTGTTGATGCTCAAAATGGAGTTCAACTTAGATAGATGTGGAGTGGTGGATGATATGTGAAGACGTGGACCATCAGCATGTGTATGTGACTTCGGCAATCAGTGACATTCAGCATAAGTAAAGTAAATAAGTATGCAAAGGACAAGATATATGTGGTTCACCCGAATGATGGGCTATGTCCACGGAGGAGGATGTTCTCATTATGATAATATTTGTTTACATTTGTATAAGGGAATTAGACCCAAAGATAAAAGGAAGAAGACTCAATGCCTAAGGTACAAAGCCCAAGAGTCCAAGACTCAAGACCCTTTACTAAGAAAAGAGTAATCTTCTTTTATAGATGAGGGGTAGTCTCCATCTCTTGTAGTCTTCCAATGCGGGATTCCTTGCCTTGCTTAGAGTTGTGACTTGTGGTAAGATTTCTTTGGCTAAGGTGATGACCTCTCAAAACATGACACGTAGATGATCTAGCCTAGCTAGTTGCTAAGTTAGTCACGGTACCAACATAAGCAATCAAGGTACTGGCTTCAACTAATGTATACCTGACAAAAGGAACAAAAAGGATGAAAGAAATTTTTAAAAGAAAACGATATCCTCAAATACAACATTAAAAAAGATGTCGTGGAGATGGCAAAGATGGCTCCTCCATTTCACTAATTGGATGGAAAATAATCTGACCAATATGGGCTCAACGACATGGGCTGCTCCTAGGCAATATAACCACCAACTCAATTCCACTTGAAGTTGTGTATTTTGACCAAAATACAAAAGAAACAAAAGTTAAGCCTTTGAAGGAAGTGGACCCGGACTCATAAGCCCCATAAGAAAAAGCAATATAATAAAGTTTAGAAACCCAGTGGTAGAGTTATGACTAGTATCTATCTCTCCAATATCTTTTAAATTAAATAAATAATTATAATTTCATCTAATGGTATATACAAAAGCCCTAAAGGAATTGATTTAACCGTGTAAGATACATGGACCAATTCACAAAAGTCAACAATGGCTACAGTAACCAAATAATGAGATTTATTAGGAGGGAATTCAAAACTCACGCTTTTAGAATGCAATCCAGGATGTGAGCAACTCCGGCCAAATGAACATGAAAATCTTGAATTGACAGATTATCAGACGCCAAAGCTATCGTGAACGGACTGTAAAGAGCTCCAAGCACCGGACTAGTGCGGTCGTCTTGGTTCAACAATTCGTCGTCCTTAGCAATTGGCCTTCGCCATATCTTTTCCACAATTATATGCTACTATGTAATTATATATTACCCTTAATTTGATAGCACTTGAATTTGACTTATAGAATCCCAAAGACTATTAACTTGCATACTCTACATCATATAAGCGAAATGGATTGAAATAAACTCGTGCGCATGTGATCTTTTGAATATAGAAAACAATCTTCTATGATGCTTCTATTCTAGTTGTGATTTCTCTACATTCATATCTCTATGCTGAGATGGATGTTACTGAAGAAGTAGCCAACTGACACTACCGACTTACCTACACTACTACAAAAAACACTTTGCACATGCTTGGTTAGAGTTAGATACAGCTGCAAATGCTTGGTTATGTGAGAGGGATGCAAGTCAATGGGCTAGATCCCATTTTAGAACTGACTTTAAGTGTGACATTTTGATGAATAATTTAAGTGAGGCTTTTAACTCATCCATATTACCTGCAAGGAACAAGCCTGTGTTGATTACATTGGAGATGATTAGAATGTATTTAATGATCTTAATGGCTCCAAGGAGAGTAGCCATGGATAAGTGGCATGGTCAAGTTGGGCCTAGAATACAAGGGGTATTGGAGGTAAATAAGGCAGTTGGGCAGTGGTGCATTCCAAGGCATGCTAGGAAAAATAAATTCCAAGTTATGCATCACAGTGGGAGACAGTTTGTGGTAGATTTGAATGCCCACACATGCTTTTGCAGAGCATGGGATCTCAGTGGTCTTCCTTGCCTCCATGCTTGTGCTGCAGTGAGTAGATTCCATGGGAATCCAGAAGATTATGTGCATGACTTCTACAAGAAAGATGCTTATCTAAGAACTTACAGGGACATGATTCACCCCTTGCCTAGCCAAGACTTGTGGCCTAAAAGTGGTTTACTTCCTTTGAAGCCTCCTCTTTACCATAAACAACCTGATAGGCCAAAGAAGAGTAGGAAGAAGGCACATGATGAGCCTAAAAAGAAATCAAATCCCAACAAACTCCAAAGATACCACATTGTCATCAAGTGTAGCAATTGTGGGCAAGAGGGCCATAACATAACTAAATGTAAGGAGCCAATGAAAAACCAGCCAAGGCGTAAGCAATCTGTAAGTATTGCTTATTATATTTCATTACAATTGCACCATTTACTAATTATATTTAGAAAAGCTGACTCTAATATATCATTTGTGTAGGTGAGGAGAGCCAATACACTAGGACAATCAGTCCAACCTCATTCACAGTCAATACATAAGCTTCTTATAACTCAATTTATAGACTAGTTTTACAAAAACTTACATACTACAATGTCATTTATGTAGGTGAGGAGAGCTCGTTCAAATTGTCACTCAATGGAACCTAATGCACAGCCAAGCCAATCAACTCATCTTTCACAACCAAGCCAATCAACTCATCTTTCACAGCCAAGTCAATCATCCCGAGCTCAATCACAGTCACTGCATGCCCACATCATTTCTGATAAAGAGGGAGGTCCTTCAAAGAAGAGGTTGACATCTGCTGCAAACAACAAGGAGTGGCTAAAGAAAGTCAGGGCCACTATGCAACCTTAGCAGTGGTGATTTTGATGTCCATGAAGAAGATTACAATTCTGTTGACTACAGTTGATGTGGAATTATGTTTTGGTAAGGAAAGGGAGAAAACAATCATTGTTGTTCATGTGAAAGAACTAATTTTGGCATATTGTGTTCTTGATGTGGAATTGTAAGCCCTTTGAAATAGATTTGATGTACAATTGGCTGCAATTGATATGGATTTAAGTTTTTTATGTCCTTTTGGGTTTTTGATGTGGACATGGTCTTTTCTTGTCAAATTAGAATGTGTAAACTGATGTTCTTAATAGAAATGTACTTAATGAATTGAGCCTATGTTGGCATCAAGTTCATTTGTCAAGTAAATTGAGCCACTGGTTATTTTTTAGTTTCAGAACTCATTACCTATTTGTTTATAGTTTTCTCACTATCTCAAAGTATGGTCAGTTGATACCAAAAACAAAAAAAAACAAAAAAAGTAAGACCACTTTACAGAAGAGGTTGAACAATAACAACCAAAAGTATGACAATATTCAAATACCATTGGATTAACCATTCTAAAAAACACCAGATTACATAACACACAAATGCCATTGTGCTCAACCATTCCCAAAACACTTGCAGATTACAAACTTCCCTCCTCCCCTTTGTTACAGTCAGGATTACTAAACCTACATTACATAGTCAACTCTAAACCTAACGATGATTACCCCTTAAACCACCAACCATCATGGAAATCAACATTATCTAAGAAAGAAATAGAAATCCCCACAACAATTTCTCTCTACCTCGAAGCTGGGCTAGATCTTGTTCCAGTCTTCCTCTGTTCTTCAGCAACCCAGGTATTATATCCTTTGAACGAGAACACATCTCTGGATCAAACCACTCAAAGAAGCAACAACCTTTGTTCCTTCCCTGTAACACCATAATATCATCAAAAACTACCATAAACGAGTAGAAATCTACAAATATTAAAGTGGTTGTTACCAGTGGGCAGACTAGAAACCTTCGACCTAGGTTGGAATCTGTCCATGAGGTCTGAACTCGACAGAGCTTCCCACAATGGCAATGCTTTCGTTGTCGACCCTCCATCGCAACTTCAGTTCAATTGTTGAAGGAGGTCTTTAGGGTTCACAAGTGTTTGCAATTTGGGACCAATTTTTGCAGAGTTAATTAATACCTATAAATTCTTATATGGACAAATGAACCAAGAAAAATGGCACATGGGAATCACGTGTGCAAGTTTGACGACTTCTGTTATGGATGGATGAAATCCAAGCAAAGTGAGATACTATATGGAGTTTCATAGGGGAAAGTGAGACACTTAGAGTTTCAGGGGGGGAAACTGAGACTGAAATTGAGTTACAGGGGGTATTTCAATAATTTAGCCTTTAAAAATTATAATATCATCATTTTTTTTACTCTATATCAAAACACTATTTTGGTTATTAAAAATAAATTTTAAAAAACCCAAACAACAAACGCCATCACCCGATTAAAATAGTTATTCTATTTTGTATCAAAACACTATGTAGTGTACATTGGTGCGGAAAAATGGATGTTACCCAAAAAAAAGTACAATCTTGTTTTAGTTTTGTGAAACACAACGTTCAACTTCAAATTTTGTATGATTTCTTGTTTCATTATATTTCTCCTTTCTCATTAGGTTTTGGCCATTGTAATCTCTTGACCCATTTTTCCTTGCCACTAGTAGTACTATACTTTTGGACGTGTCTTGCTGGGATTACTATTTCAGAAACGATGTTTCAAATGTGATGTTTACTTTCGCTACTATTTGTGCCCCGCAAATAGAGTTTGTATTGGACTTTCCACGCCCAATATATTAAAAGAGTGTCTTATAGCGTATTGCGGGCATAGATACCGGGGGAGCGGATTCGCTGTCCCCAATTTGGTGTCCCCCTCATGTCCCTTCTTTAAATGTTTGACAAGTGTCCTATCACTTAACCCTAATATAACAATGTTAACTTAATAAAATAAAAAACTAAAAATTGAAAAACAACATAACAATAAATCATAGCAGCCACTGTTACCAAGTGCCTCCGCCCAGCAAACACCAACCGTCCACTCCAACCTCTTTTTTAACCTTGGGAGCCTCACGAGCAAAGATAACCAGCATTTTGGGATATGAGGTTAAAGCTCGTCATCAATCAGCATTAAGAACTCCAACCTGGCAGCCACCCACTCCAACCTCTGTTTATGTATCTGTCTCTTTCTCTCCATCCCTCCCTCCCTCCCTCCCTCCTCTATATATCGTTCTTTTCTCTGCCAATCTTTATTTGTTGTTTCAATTTGATTTTTGGGTTTGGTTTTGTTGTTTTTGCATGTGTTTACAATGAAAGGGACTGCTCACTTGTGTATGATTTCGGGAAAGGGTGGTTGATTTTTATTGGTAGCAGAGCTTTAACCCACTACTAGATCGTGAACCTAGGGCGGCTTACGTTGGGTGGCTGGCCTAGGGTAGGGTAAGAAAGGGAGGTTGCCGCCAGTGGGATGGGGTGATTGGGGTGGTTGACTGTTGGTGTTTGCTGGGCGGAGGGACTTGGTAACAGTGGCTGCTATGATTTATTGTTATTTTGTTTTTCAATTTTTAGTTTTTTATTTTATTAAGTTAACACTGTTATATTAGGGTTAAGTGATAGGACACTTGTCAAACATTTAAAGAAGGGACATGAAGGGGACACCAAATTGGGGACAGCGGATCCGCTCCCAGATACCAATTTCCGTATTGACCTTTCTTTTAGTAGTGTCTTAGAAATAAATAACAAAATTAAAGATTGTGCACGTGACAATATTTATCCTTAAACTAATTGTTTTAAACTATCGCCCACTTAATGAGAATTGTAAGGAATAAATATGAACTGTTTGTAAATTAGGGCAGGTATTTGAATTACGTAAGACTTTCCCACTGTGAGAATTTGATGCGAAACCAAGAAAGGCTTAATATATATTCGCGGATGATTTCTTTGTTCCTCAAACTTTCTTCTTCTTCCTTCTCGATTCTTGCAAAATAGACCGGAGTAAATTGACCACACCTAGGGGGGGCGTTGGCCAAAGACCCTCCGATGCCTAAGTCAATTAATTGGATCTTGAGAAAGATACAACAAAGTAACGAAAATAATGGAGGTCTTCTCTCACAGGGAGAGCCATCTTTGTGAGAGAAAGAGTGAGAGGGAGGGGGGGGGCGAGAGAGAAAGGTGTGACATCAATTTTGTTAGGGATCTGGAATAGTGGCGAAGCTAGAATTTCATGTGTGTGGGGGCCTCTTACAAATTATAAAGAATCAAAAATTCGAACTCACAATACATACGAAACATAGTGTGTTTATATATCACATATGTCAAGAATTATATTGCTTATTGGTTACAATCATAATTGCCCTCGACAAAGAGATAGACAAATACATTCCAAGCAAGAAAAATTGCAAGAGATAGACAAAAAGTAGTGATTTAGCAAATATCTTTAAAGCTTTTTCCCCCATTAAACCCAATAAAAAGAAAAAAATATTTAAAAAAAAACTTAAGGTCCCTTCATGCATTCATATCATACGTGAAAAAAATATTTTATATAAAAATATTGACCAAGTATGAAAAATGGTTTTTCTGAATGATAATTTTCTCAAGATAATTTTTGGCGGCTTTTATTCATTACACATCAAATAAGAAAATTTGATTTTATAGGATTTTAGTATGAAGTATATATTGACTTAATGCGCCATCATTTTTAGCTTAAATCGTATTTTACACTAAAACCGATTTTTCATTTTTTGATTTGGTGGGAATTTGATTTTCTAGTATTTTTATTTGAATCAAACTAGGGGGTACTTCCTCATTTACATTGTAAACTTAAGTAAGTGGAGTAATATAAAAATAAATTAAAGTAAAAAGACAAAGACATTTACTTAAATGTTGAAAATAGAAATAAGGTAATATGTACACCTGGAGTACAACACCACTAACTGATCGAGAAGACAATTTGAAGTACCTCCTTGTGCCTTAATAGGTCCGCCACAACACATGTGGGTACATATCAAAACATAAAGTATTTGAAATAATATACATATAAAAATAAATAACAACATATTACTTTTAAAATATTTAAAAACTTGAGTGGGGGCCCGGGACCACACTGGTCCTAGTGTGGCTCCGCCCCTGATCTGGAATTACCTTTTGTGTGTTGTATAGCCATGTATTTTTAAACTTCTTGAAGGTTAGGGTTTGAAGAATAAATTCTTTATTTAATTAGGATCATTCTTATCCAAAAATAGGAGATTGGAATTATCAATGAGATTTGGTGGAAATCTCATCCTTGATTTTGGGAGATATTCCCATTAATTAGGGTAATTAGTTGACCTAAGGAATATTTATTTTCCATGTGTCGCCCATTTATTTGTCAGCGAAATATATGCGCCCACACATCCTATCTCAATTGTATCGCACACCTTTAATATCAAATTCTTTTATTAAATGATGTACATACGAAGAGGACTCATCTCTAATAAGTCTATATCTACACTGCTTCTGGTATATGTAAACGAAACTTTATAAAATAAAAAATGTGATCATGCTCACTTGAGGGAGAAACACTCTCATGCAACAGGGATTACATTTATTGCTATCCCCGACCAATAACGCAACGGCGTGTGGGTTAACTTTTTCACGTGTCATTGAGTTATTGGCCTAGGATAACAAAACAATGTTATCTCCATTACACGAATTTTTTAAAATTATTATGATTATTTTTTTTTGCATTTGAGGGGTAGAAGAAAATTGACGGAGAGAACGAAAAAAAAAGAGAGGAGAAAGAGAGAGAATGGGAAAACCAAGGGAAAAAAGAGAAACAAAGAGAGAAGGAAAAAAAAAGGAAAGAAAAAGGAATAATAAAAGGCTTAAATGCTAAAATAGTCCTTGTGTTTTACCACGTTGATCAATTTAATCCATGTGTTTTCAATTTGGCCAATTTGGTCCCCGTGTTTCGGACCACTAGCCAATGTGATCCATTCCATTAAAATTGCCTTTAAATAAACATAAATAATTTTTTTTCTTTTTTGTTGAAAACTTATAAACTTATTTGAAATTTATTTTTAAATTTTAATTAATTCAAAAATATATTGAAACTTCATCAAAACCAAAACATAACATTAGGAAAGAAAAATGAGCAAACCATATTTAATAAAAATGATGTATATATATTGGCTGACTAGTTATAAAAAGCGATCCAATGATATACATTTATTTTTAAAAATTAAATTCACTAAAAACAAAAAGGCAAAATCGAATCTTTGTGTAAAAAGACAAAAAAACTAAGAATGACTAGCTGTGCTAAATGTGTAAAGCTTAGAAATTGGGGTCGAATAGGATCCTGAGAATCCAAGTTTAAAAACTAACAACTGAAATTCTGAGTGCACTGAAAATGAGCATATAAAACGTCAGCATAATGGAACCAAAAAATTACTGTAGTCAAATATTCGTAAAACATAAAACTAATTAAAGAAAACAACACAAGAAATAAGAAAGACTTGCCTACTTAGCGTAACAAGTACTCCTTAGTATTTGCATGAAAATCCAAAGTTGACACGTATTTGTTTTTTTTACAAACAAAAAACTTTACAATGAAGATTGTCGAGGGATCTTTATACCATACAAATCAAAGTATAATCTATGTAACACTCTTTTAGGAAAATAACACGGAACTCGTACAAGCATGCTCATATTTTACTATAATATTAGCCACTTGATTTGTTTCCTGACATGCATGACACAAAGAGGCTGAGTTAAAATTTTGAAGCGGCTTCTTTGGACCAGTGTGCGAAGCGTTCAAGGAGTGACATGCATCTGTTCCTATTTTTGATTTGAATTCATTTCTCTTTGTAAGCGATCACGGATGAAATTGGAATTTGAACACCCCAACCCAAAAGAGGATTTACAAGCTGCCAAACAAAATTGTTGTTTTGCAAACGTCAAGTAGAAACCGAACTCATCTAGGCTTTTGGTTTGGACAAGTAAGCCTTTCTTTCTATGCTTAAACACATGCACAAAGACACCTGTTTGCTATCAAAAATTGAAGCTGGCAAA